ATGAACTAATTCCGCCCACTGCCTGACGGATGCTACGCTCTCAATGAGTGATAGTTATTACAGTATTGCTTCGAGAAGGTTCGACTCCTCATTCCCTTGTCAGGACCACAGGGACTCCGGGCATCCTGCTAGCTACTCCTTTGCATCTTACTATTCTGCCAGCCACCCACGGACTGAAAAAGACCTGCTCTTCCCTTCCCTGAGCCTTGACACCTTCCTCTGATAGTTTCTCCATCCTTGTCCAAACAGATGCCCGGCAAAGCCAAGTTCAGTGCGCTGAGGCAGTAGTTTAAGAGGCTGTCTCGAAGAACAGGTTGCCTATAAAAGCCAGGGCTGCCTGTACCTCGAAGAGATCTAAGAGGCTCTCAATTCAAAGCAGTTCACAATGCTCGACTCTGGCAGCTTCTAGGTTGAAAATTGATTGCACCGGAACATTTATTTCCAAGAATTGGCTGCTACACACAGCCCTTGCATCTTCAAGCCCCTGGCACAAATTAACTTTGACCAAGAATGAAATAATAACTGAGAGGTCAAAACAAATTACATTTCGAGTTTGTCCCTTAGTGAAGAAGAAGCAAGAACACCACCACTGTTTTGTACATAGAAATATTCCTATCAAGAGCAAAGAGTGCTTTCTCCCTAAAGGCCGTGCATTTTTTTCCAACACTGACTTTTCAGTCCAAAGTTAGGCTGTGGGCACAGGAGAGTGAAGAGACAGTAAACTCTACAACCCAGAAAGAGAGGAATATTTCAAGTTATCCACAAATCACTTATTGATTAGAGTTAGGAAATGACTGAATGAACCCCATTTCCACAAGAGAAGAAAACTGTGCCACTTTTCAAGATCAATAATTACATGTGATGGTTTTACAAACAGAAAGACACAAAGCTACCATATTACTGTAGATACTATGTCTGGATAGTTCTCCAAAGGAAATCATTTAAAAATTATTGTAAAACACTTAGCGAACATGTTCTATGAATTATTCCACATTCTATATTAATTCTATGTTCTACGAATAAAGAATAGTAATAAAAGCTATCCAAATGCTGTTTGCCCATGGTAAAATAGAATTTTCAAGCAGGGACACTTAAAATACCCAATTCTGTGCATTTCACACAAGACTATACGTTCCCTGATGGAAGGGCTGTGGTAGAGTTCATCATAGCATCCCATGCCTGGCTCATAAAAATGACTCTACAACTATGTACTGAATTCATATCATAAACAGTCCCATAAAAATGTCTGGAAAGATGGTCAGAGTGCTCCTAGAAAGTTATAAAAAAATTTTTTTAAATGTTGTTTTCAGATCCTTCCATCATATTGTATGACTATTTTGAAAGGACAAGCTTTGCAATAGACGATCCAAAACTGTCAATGTCCAGACAAACAGAAATGAGACTCCAGGGGAAAGATGAAGTTCGTGTTACTCAACCTCTTTCAACTCTGTGTCATTCCAAGTCAATTGAATTTCATTCTGTTTGGGAAAAGGTTAACACAGTAATAGAGCCTATGGCAGAAGCTGTCTTCACCAGTCTAGGGCACAAGATGCTGACCCTTTGTGAGCCTTTGCTTGTGAAATAGACCCTACTGAAATAAAAATACTTCTTTTCTAAGATGGTGTAAAACAATTGGCACACACATCTAAATGCTCCTGTTTTAACTGGGCCTACACAGCGAGTCCATGGGTCACGGGTTACTATTCCCAATAGGCTCATTATCAGCTACATTAGCTCAACAAACATTTCAGCAAACTAAAGCAGCTATATAATTCAAACAAACAGTCAGCTTTTACAAGATTTGCACTCATTGGTTCATTAATTGAATAATGTGTCAACATAACAAAATGTTTGCCTCTTGCTCTTGCCATCTCAGAAAGACAAAATCTCCCCTGGGCAGAAAGTTTCATTTTCTTAGATTCTTCTGTAATGGGCAGGAGCCTACAGACCTTGTGTTTCATTTATATTAGCTAGATGTTGTTTAGTTCTGATGCTTTTCTGTTTACAACTGCGAAAAAGGCAAAGTAACTAAAATTAAAAAAAGCACACAGAATACTATAGTGACTTCAAATAATTAGCTGGAAATGAAAAATCACTGGTGATAGACCAATGGCAAGTTAAAATGTACACTTCTCATTCGAATGCTAAAAGTGCAACTCTGAATACCTTTTCAAGAATACCAAAAACCGGTGATCACATGGCTCAGCCCATAATGAAGATGAAATAGAAACTCTTATCAGAAAACATTTGAATAGTATCCCTTTACCAACACAGTGAAGTCATACTAGCCTTTTGAGTTGCTGTGCTGAGGTGTTTTAACATGAAATTAACTTTCTTACAGGATCTAAAACCCCCCCAAACCCCCACCCCCAAACCAAGCAGGTAGACTACTGCCATCCAGTGATAGAGAAAATTCTGCAAGATATTTTAACTGATAATCTCAATGTAAGAGAATCCTAACCCAGTACAAGGAGTGACTGTTACTTTGTAAATGGTTACATTACAAAACTAAAGCCAAAACCCTCGAGATAAATACAAAACAAATTAGAATCTCTGGAAGAGGTTGCAATGGCCTAATTTAAGAGTCTATTCAAAAAACAGCAACAGAATAACAATTACTAAAGGGTTGTTTCCTAAAATTACTCTCCTGCTGACATTTCTCAATTCTAAAATACCATAAGAAACATGCTCATGGTCAGTAATTATGCCTTAAAAGAAAGAATCACCAAAGAATACCATGGAAAAACAAAGGCATTCATACAAGGAAGTGAATTCCCTAAGCACATAACTATATTCTTAAGAGGGATACTAAAAAAGCAGAAGTCACATTAAGTTCAACACCGAGAAAAAATAATGAACAGAAGTTCCTAATTTTAGTAATTGTATATTACTAAAAAATACAAAAAAAAAAAAAACCTGCCCATGAGTTGAGATTTATTGATTTTAAATATAGAAACCCTATTTATTTAGGACTCCCTGCCCTTTGGGGGAAGTACGAAAGGCAAGAGAAAAAAAAAAAAAAAGGATTTTTATACCACATGTACAGAAATGTACAGGGTTTGTTTTTGTTTTTTGTTTTTTTTAAATGAAATTTAGGTTTGATCTGGGGTTCTTGTTCTCTAAGTTACCCATTAGCCAGAAATTTTCAACTGCACTGATTTTCAATTAGCTTCAGATATGTTGAACTCCAGAAAAAGAGTGTTATATTCATAGCACTCTAGAAAGATCTGCATTTTTTTCCCTGATTTCCACTACTTGGCATTGCCTTTCAAAACAGCACACACTACAAAACCAACAAGAGGCATGAGCTAAGGAGGGAACACAAACCAAAACCATCTAGCAAGCATGTCTTCATTTGCACAAGTTGGCTTTTTCACAACCAATAACTCAAAGGGACTGATATTTTCTGTATCATAGGGCTTGTAAATGAACTTCAAAAAATAATCTGATGATCACTTAGCAACAAAAGGAAGATTTTTTTTTTCTAAGTCAAGGTAACATTTAAGCAATCTTGGGTGTATCACGCGTGAAGGACGGATGATTTCCAATGGAGAATAGCTATGGTTTAAATTCCAAGATTTTACAGAATTGCGTGGTTTCAAATTCATGATAAAGAAGATTCCTCTTTTTATCATCAATTGCACCAAGAGCTATTTCGCTTCAAGGAACCACGGTAGCTGTACAACTCAAGATGGTATTAATCAAGAAAGAAGCTAGGAGGAAAAATCCAACACTGGTGCTTTGATACATTATTTGAAACTCACTACTAACCTGATGAACAATCTTTTTCTGGGGTGGTGCCAGTGACACGAACTAGTAAAATGTTTTTACTAGTTCATCCACGATAAATTATTTGAAATAAAACTGCAACTTGGTATGAACTTCACCAAGCCCCTGGCCAATTCGGTGGGGGTCCTTCTTTGACAAATTAGCACCCAGTTCCAGTCTGGAAGCACCCCATTCGGTGTGCCTTTTCGAGTGAATCCCATTTCAACCTTTTAATAAAGTGCCACCAGGAGATGTGCAAGTTGAGAAAGGCGGCTCAGGTGGCACGCTTAGCACCAAAGAGAAACCAGAGTGGGTCAAAATCCCGCCTGGGGCACAAAACAGGAGAAAAGATCCTAGGAGACTGCCGGGGCCGATGGACTTTCCAGGAAGGGAGCGGTGGAAACAGCAGCTGAAGTACCGGGACGGAAGGCGAGGAGCCCGCGCGCCCGGCTGGAGAGCCCAGGGGGAGCGGAGGGCGGCGGGGGAAGGAAAGAGCAGGATGGAGCTCAGGGGAACGACGGGCACGGGGCAGAGGGGGACCCCAAGGACTGGGCACGGGGAGAGGGGGACCCCAACGACCGGGCAGAGGGGGACCCCAGCAGCGGAACGGGGAGAGGGGGACCCCAGCAGCGGAACGGGGAGAGGGGGACCCCAACGACCGGGCAGAGGGGGACCCCAGCAGCGGAACGGGGAGAGGGGGACCCCAAGGACCGGGCAGAGGGTACCCCAAGGACCGGGCAGAGGGGGACCCCAGCAGCGGCACGGGGAGAGGGGGACCCCAGCAGCGGCACGGGGAGAGGGGGACCCCAACGACCGGGCAGAGGGGGACCCCAGCAGCGGCACGGGGAGAGGGGTACCCCAAGGACCGGGCAGAGGGGAACCCCAGCAGCGGCACGGGGAGAGGGGGACCCTAAGGACCGGGCAGAGGGGGACCCCAGCAGCGGCACGGGCAGAGCCACAGGGGTAGGGCTGGAAGGAGGGGCAGGGACAGAAGGAGACGCGGCAGGGATGGAGCGGGTCCACCCGAGTCCCACCCAGCCCCACGCCGGGGCGCCCGCTGTGCGCGGGGCACTTTGGAGCGCTGGTCTCCTCCAGCCCCCCGCAGCCCCCCGATGGATGCCCCCATTTCAGGGAGCAGCAGGACGAGGCCCGCCCCGCAGGTGGCCGGCGGGGGCAGCGCGGCGCGCCCGACCCTCCGGGGCGCAGGGGCGCGGGGCGCGGGCGGCCGGTACCTGGGCTCGGGCAGGACGATCTTCTTGCTGGCGCGCGCGGCCGGCGTGGCCTTGCTCTTCTCCATGGCCATCAGGTAGCTGACGTCGGCCAGCACGGCCTCCAGGTCCGCCATGTTGGCGCGCCGGCCTCGCCGGACGGGGCGCGCGCCCTCCTTCCCTCCTTCCCCTCACGCGCCGCCCCGCCGCGCCCGCCGCCCGCCGTGGGCGCCCGGGGCAGCCCCGCCGCGCGCCGCCCGCGCGCCCGCGGCCACCGCGCCCCGCCCCGCCCCGCCCGCCGCCGGGTCCGCGGGGAGCGCGCGCCCAACGCTCGGCGCCCCTCGGTGCCCGCGCGCCTCCCGCCCGGCACGGCCCGCGGGGTGGCCACGGGGGACTTCCTCTCCTCCGCCTCCTCCGCCTCCTCCTCCTCCTCCTCCGACCTCCTCCTCCGACCTCCCGCCCCAGAGCCCGCGCTCTCACGCCCGTCGCCGCCCTCCCCGGGGAGCCAGGGCCCCCGACGCCCACCGCCCTAGGGCGATCGGGGCGGCCTCCGCGCCCTGGGCCCGACAGCTCTCCAACTGGACAGTCGCAGTCGGCATCCTCCCGGGGAGCGTGGGGTGGTGGCCCCAGAAATGCACGTGTCCCACCTGTCCCCACAGGTGATAAGGAAGCCTGGCGGTCCGCAGGCCACCCTTGCGCAGCTCCCAGGGGCCTGGCTCCCCGCCCGTCCCGTCCCCCTGTGAACTCCGCAAAGAGCCCACGCTGGAGAAAGTTGCCCGCCTGGTGCTAAGCAGGGGCCAGGGGGGCTGAGGGCTCCCCACCGGCACCCCCGGGACAGAGCTGCCGTTAGGGAGCGCGCTGTTGGAAGAGCACTCGCTTGAGAAGGTCACCACTCGCTGGCACTGGGGTGGGAGGTTTCAGTCTGGGTGTTTCTAGGGTCCTTGGGAGAGAAAACTAGACAGCTGTGTGTGGGCCTTGGGTTTGGCCACTGATTCAGAAGACAGTTAGGGAGCAGTGCTGAGCGCTCACACCCTCCACGGGGGGGGGGGGGCATTTAGGGAACTGGGAGAGCTAGAGCCCAAACTGCCCAGGCAGGAGGGAATTTCCAGCTTCCTGATCCTCGGGCTCCCTGGCCCCCCTAGCCAGTAGCCAGTCCCCAGCCCCCCCCCGGGGGCGCTTTCGTTCGCTTCTTTTCTCCCAGCAGTGCGCCACATTCAGAACCCATGTGGCATTCAGACTGGAGTGATGTCAAGGAACACCCAGGCAGTCTTAAGAAGACCTGAGCTGGACATTATTAATTAATCCAAAAATAAAAAATCCTTTAATTCATCCCAATTGGTCACGTTGCACCATGAGCCTAGACCTTGAATTTGAATGAATGTTCTGTCAATAGCTTACAGGGTTAACAGGGCCCACCAGAAACGGTCAAGGTCAAATTTGGGGTGTTTCGCATAAAGCCATAGCAGAAGCAGTCACAGGAACCCTGCCCTCTTTTGTTTTGTCTCTGGAGGGAGGGCCACCGGACCTCAATGTTTCCCCGCTGTGCCTGCCCTCACTACCCGCCAGTTTTACCAGTCGTTTCTCAAGATCCCAGGCACCATATGCATAAAGTTGTCCAGAAAAGGACAAGAGGGTGTAAGAAGTAGGATTGTGAGTGGAAGGAGCGTGGCCCGGCAGCAGAAAGCAGAGTGGTCGAACAAGCACAAAATATATTAACAAGACAAAAATATGCATATGCCAAATAGCAAACTTTCATCTTCCACCCACTTTTTTTTTGGTTGTTTCTTTGCCTGAAAACAGGAACACAGAATGTCTTGTCAAAGGTCACCCAGGAGGAGGAGTAAGTTCCTTAAAAAAAAGCATACATTTTTATGATTTAATTAATACAGTTTCTTTCAATATGTCTTTTTATCACTTGAACATCCACGTGATGAGATCTGACTTCTGCCTACATTTTCTTGGTCCTTTTTGACTTTCATGAAGAACATTTTGTTGTTGTTGTTCTTTTTTTTTTTTATTTTCCTTAGCAGCATGGTTTAGTAAGTTTGGAACAAGACACACCTAGATTCAGATCCCTGCTCTAGATAGATCCCAGTGAGCTTAGAGCAACGTTTTACCTCTCTTGTTCTAGGTAAAGTGGTTAAGGAGGCTATTTCCCCAAGAGTTGTTGAGAAGACATGGGAAGAAATGCACCTAAAAATGCACCTTGCCTGGCACCCGGTCGCTCCTCAAAGGCCAGGGCACTTCCTCTATGTATTTTGCTTCATTTTACCCCGGCAGCTAGAGAAGCTGCTGAAACCAGTTATTCTCCGTCGTGACACTCGAAGCAGGAAGACCCCTTACCAAAAATAACATCTCCCTGGGGCTTTCCTAAGAACCAAAATGGCAAAAATGATTGGCATTTATAAACACAAGTAATCACTCTTCTAGCAGAAGGAACAAGGAGTCCAGACTTCGGTTCTCTAACTGGGGCCGCTACACCATTTCAGTCAGCTGACTCAATTACCCAAGGGCATTTTCTTTTTCTTTTTTTTTTTTTTTTTCTTTTCTGGTATTAATAGTGTGTGAACTTCTGTTCCCTGGCTTTACCCTTTGCTGCCTGTCACACTTTCTCCACGCCCCTCCTCTTTTCCTCTTCCTTGACTCTCTCAATACTGAACAGCTTTTTGTGTTCACTGCAAACAAAAGGCGTTAATCGCAGTGATGAAGTTGTCATAACTGAGCTGCTAAATCCTGTTGCTAAACACCAGGCTGTAATCATTACAACGGGCAGAGAAAACAAATAGCAACCCATTCGTACTAAGCCAGTAATGCTCCCTTGCAAATAATTGTGTTTCCCGCTCCCCCCACCCCCCAACCCAAGGATTTAAATGACTTCAGGCTCACTCCGCTTGGGATAATAGATAAAACGCCAAAGTTCCCACAAGGTTCATAATGTTCTTTCCTTTTTTTCTTTTCTGTGATTCTCCATCATCAGAAAAGATGGATGCATTAAAGTTTAGTCCTCCCAGAGTTTATTTTAATAACAGCTTCAAAGGAGAAAAGCTAACTAGCGCACTACCTGGTTTTATTTGTTTTAGATTCCGGGCTTCACTGGGACCTCTTACTCATAGGATCCCTATACAAGCTGGGGAGGATGGGGTGGTCGGGAGGAGAATGTTGTTCTGAGAAATGAATCAATCACAAATGAAAAAGAAATCGACTCAAGACTCCAACTGGAAGAGTTTTGAGAACAGCAGAACTCGCCTGGCCTTCATTCATTAAAATCACAATATTTAAATCAGTTCGTGCTAAGAGAGACTTTATTTTGTGTAAGCAGCCCCTTGAATACAGTTGCTGCTCAAGAAAACCGCACACAGTTGGCATTCGAATGGTCTTCCTTCCAAACATCTCGCCCTGTAACATCTCTGCGGGGATTTCAGGAACACCGGGCCACTGTCCCATTTCACCTGTAATGACAGATCGCAGTCCTGGTTGTTGTCACAGGCGACATCCGGTGAACTGCTTCCCATGCCAGTTTTATCAGCAAAGCTTTACAGACTTTAATGGCAGCTCCACACAGAGCAGCTCCATGCTTCTAAACATCTGCCAAAAGGCATGACACCGAGCTTTGGTTCCATTAGTACTGAAATGACGCTCATTGCGGAAGTACCTTCCTTTAAGTACGTGCGTGGAAACATATATAAGAGCCCCATGTATGGTGACTGCTGGTCAGGGGGCCACTCTAACGAGAATCCGCAGAGTGTCGTGGTGGCTCAGGGCTATGGGCTCGGGAGTCACGTGGCCTGGATGGGACACTCAACACCAGCACTTCTGAGCTTAGTGCGACCTTAGCCAAGTTGTCTCACCGCTCCGAGCCCCAGCCCTCTCAGCGGCGCTGCTGGCAGAACAACGCTGCAACGCGCAAGGAGCTGTAAAAAGCACTCAGTGAACATCGGCGACATCATCAGCACCGGCGTCACAGCATCTCTGCACCCTGCAAAGCGTGTTGGAAAGAGATCAGCACTGGAAACGAAAACAAAACAAAACTAAACAAGCAAACAAAAAACAACAACAACAACAACAACACTAGGCTGGCTGGCTGTGACCTGCCGGCTCTGGCATTGCTGAAGAACTGGGAGCAGCTCACCTGAGCTTTTTAAATCCCACTTTCTACCCGCTCACTAATGAGGGGACTGAATGAACCGGTCCCCCGGGGGTCCCTTCAAATTCTGAAATTCTCCGGCTTTCTTTAATCCTACAGGGAGAGCTTTTGCAAGGCGAAGGATGCTCACGCCCTCACCGTGCACGCTGAGGCTCCGCTGTGTCCGACCCTACCCAGGGCACTGACAGTTCTCACGTCGCCACCGCCCACAGGTGTGGCGAGCAGTCCATCAGCTGGTTTCTGGAAGCAAGCATGGCTGTGTTTGCCCGGCCAGCATCCACTCTGAGCACGAGGGCCTCGCTCAGCAGATGTGCGTCCACGGATAGGTGAATGAACGGGTGACGTAAAGATTGCAGGTTGCCGCGAAGGATAAGACTTGTTAGGAAAATAATCTAAAGGGAGAAAAAAAAATGTTACTTAAAACCACAGGTGCCTCTCAAGGGGTGCAGCCTGCTGAAGGTCCCTGCTGGGCCTTGGGGCTGCTAATGCGACCCACACAAAGGCCGCCCAGTGGCTGAGAAGCCTGGTGCCTCGGGCTGTGCAAAGCTGGGCCTGGGAGCTTCAGGCCTTTGAAGGGAAGGAGAGCTCAGTCCCTCTGGCTCGCAGAAGGGGGACCGGGAGTGGACGTGAAGGAAGGAGTTACAGAGAGGGCAAGCAGGTGGTCTGAGGCCAGGCACTCCAGGCACCCAGTGACCAGTGAAAACCCCAGAGTGGGGTGGTGGTTGGGAGAGCACTCAGGGAAAGTTCTGCTCTTCTGTCCTCCATGCCATTTGAGGTCTGCCATTCTGTGCAGCAATGTCATGCCTTTCCGGGGACCCTCATGACTACCCGGCTTGTGTCTGTGAGTTCTTTGATGGCGAGTTGCAGGAGAGGCGGGGAGTCAGGGCCGGGATCAGTACCAGGACGGAGATAAAGGAACATCTGTGAGACAGAGAGGGGCCACACTGCACCAAGGCAGGAAATGGGGACCAGCCACGACAACGGGAGAGTGGGCTCGGGGAACGGCCAGGCGCCCAAGGCAGG